CCCTTGATTCACTGGTAGGTCAAGACATCAGACAGCGGGTCAGCGCTAGCTTGTTTATCTGAGGAACAGGCAGAGGATCACCCACTTCATCATCAAGCAAGCTTGTGTTTAAAGTGCAAAAAGTGATGCCACCCCTCTGATATCACCTGATGTGAGTGATGTAGCTCCAGCTGGATCAAGTTGCTCTCCCTTATCAAATGATCCACTGGTCTTGGTCTGTGGACAGTGTTTACTTGGTTACGCTGAATGTTGTTGGATGCTGTCTGTTCGGTCAGTTTGTGTGCATAAATTGAGTGATTTTGTGAGGGATCTTTATAGTTTATATCTGCTGAATGAAAATCTCTGAAACTATCAAATAATTTGAGAATTAAAAGACCTAAGATTTTTAGCTTTGTTCAAGACAATTACATGACTTTTCACTAACTGCCACCATGTTGTTGCAGATAACGGCCTTGAAAATGCTTATTATGGGCAAAAACGTCACCACAACAGTGTTAGGTTGACAGACGGAGAACTGCAGAATGCCTGAACGGCAATAAATTGTCTTCTGTAAGTAAGAAAGAATGGGTTTGTTGCATAGGATGTGAAAAATGAACCTACATTAGCTGCTCCAATATATAATAACTAACAATGTAGTTTTTTTTTTTAATAAGTCTCTTATGCGCATCAAGGTCGGAAAACCCCCCAGTAAAAACTGTGATAAAGTGAAATTTATATAAAATAAAATTTTCCATCTTTCTGTTTATAAATTTTCAGTTCTCTATTTTAATATATTGTAAAACATTTAAAGCAAAGCAGAATTGTTAACATTTATTTGGAATAGAAGTTACAGTATAAATGTCTTTACTGTCACTTTTGATCAATTTAATGCATCCTTGCTGAATAAAAGTATTAATTACTTTTATTTAAAAAAAAAATCTTACTGACCTTTTCAGTGATAATTTAGCTCCAAATATTGTACACTGTTCACTGACTAAATGCAGAATAATACACACATTCAGAGACTGTTTAATAGATTAGATAGATTTTTTAACTATATTTTCACTCAAATTAAGTTGCTGCATGAATTCAATAAAAGTAACAAAATATTTAAATGAGTCTTTTAGCCCCCTTGTTCAGAACAAACTAGGTACTAACTAAGGATTCAAACAATCTTCATTCTCAGTTATAAGGAAATACTATTCAAATTAGACCAAAGCTTTCTACAATGTGTCCAAAATGTGTTTAATGCCATTTAATGAGAACTTTGGTTGTTTTCAGCGGGCTTTGCTGCAGCCTCTATAAGCAGCTTGCATGTGGCAGTGGTAACCCGCTGAGATGAGAGAGTGACAGAAGTGCGCTTGTTTTGCTCCTGTAATGTTCCTCTGCCCGGAAACAGTGTTGCCTCGACAGCCGCGAGTGGAGAAGCGATTGGTCGCGAGGCGGCAGTTCAAGCATCGCGCGCTGTTCTGGGACTTACTTCTAGAAGTGCGTGCGTCAACCAGCATCAACATCAAGCTGCTTTTCTCAACTACATGTTTGCCTCGCAACGCATTCGTGTAATAGAAAGAACACGCGTTAAACATTTAGATGTTTCAGACAACAGCTTTAACTGTAGAACAACGTAAATATTACGAGTGTTGTTATAAACCGACTTACGACATACGTAACGTTATTACAGACCTACGTCGTTAATTTGTTTGGGGATATATATATATATATATATCTGTCAGTTGTATATTAAATAAAACAGCATAAAGGTTTAAACTAACCTGTGTATCTTTAACATATTAAACCAATATCGGGCTCTTAATATTATATGAAGTCGCCTAATTAGCATTTCTCTGCCGCCCCCTGCCGCTCACACAGAGTATTGTCTCACATTCAATACATTTTTTTTTTAACTATTATAAACTAAGAATAAGCTCTACAAATTAAGACTTCAGATGGAAAAGCCTCTACGTGCCGTCTGAAATCTTTATCTAAAATGAGCATTTTTATCAGGCTCCTATATTTATGTTCAGTTATTTCACTTTAATGGCATAGAAAAGGACCTATACATTGCCATTAAAGTAAAATGACTGAACCTAAACATAGGAAGCATCTGAACTCTTCAAATATTTGTGGTTCATGAAATATTCATATAAATTAAAATCAGAATCAGATAAAAGGAACCAGCAGGTCAGTGCACACTAAATGTCAAACAAAACAAAAACAATTGCTCTTTCCAATCTATTCTTCTTCCACTTCATCCGGACAGCAATAATATTCCACAAAACAAATCTGACCATCATCATTCCTCACAAGGTACTGTAGAGAGAGGAAGCCTCGACTGTCAGTTCTCACCGAGACTTTACAGGACAGAGCCAAGGCCTTTGTAGAGGGTTTCAACAGGGACATCTTATACCTTTGAGAATAAACAAGAGAATCTCAGCGACTCTTTGTTCTTTTACCACTTACATGTGAATGCCTCAGAGGTACATCTATAAGCATAAGGCTGTTGTTTTGTGAAGTCATACAGAGCTCTGATTGATGGGAAATGCAGTCAAAAACAGAAGCTCCTCCTACCTGTTGGTCTGTATTTTAGTACACTGGAACAGCTCCATCATGTCGGAGTCTTTGGGGTAATCATAATGAGCGTTTCCAGAATTCCCAAATGTGGATAATCTAAAATGAAGGAAAATAATGAATATCTATTGACATTAAATTTGACTTGACAATACATGATGATCTGTTGTGTGCACTGTTACTGTACCTGAAGTAAGGATGGCTTGGTGACATAGTAATCTGCAGAACCTCACTGGTCATGTCAAGCTCAGAGAAAGCCTCTTTAAGACTGTCTGACTGCAGAATCACCTTGTTGGTTACATTTGTGCTGCAAAAGTCAAAGTCTATGGGCTCCTCCGGCTCCTGTGTATTAATCTTGCATACGGTGACCACACCACCTTCCTCCAGGAACAAAGTCAGCGGATATCCATAGCCATTGTAGCACATTCTCAAGGCGGTGCACACACCTTAAGGGTAAAATAAAAGACAGAAATTAGTTTAATTAATTTTCCAAAAGAAGGACTGGATTATCATTATGATACACACCTGGGACTGTGCTTCCCCCAAAGATGGTGAGGCAGTCCAGAAGAACAGTTAAATTAACCTGAAAGCCAACTGCGTCCTCTTTAATTATGTACTCTTGAAAGATGTCAACCTGAGGAATCAGACACACAAATACACTGATTAACCCAACTGCTGTCAACCAACCGAACTCGTAAGACACTGTCCTCCAACACCAACCTGAATGAATGCATTGGCTTGAAGGCATTTGGAGTCCTCAACAGTGACTTTTAACCCATTCTGTGTTGCATTGAAGATAGCATGGTCCCTGAAAGAGATGGCTTTCAGGATGTTGGACAGATTCCTTGCGTTATCCAAACTGGCTATCAGAATGTACTGGTCAATGTCTGCTTGGGACTGAGTTGACAGAGGCATGGTTCTGAGTTGTCAGCATCTGAAATGACATTTACACTTATAAAACCAACAGTCTCATATTTGATACATGAATTTCAATAGCCTCTAAATCAGGGGTGCCCAAACTTGGTCCTGGAGGGCCGGTGTCCTGCAGAGTTTAGCTCCAACCCCAATTAATCACACCTGAACCAGCTAATCAAGCTCTTATAGGCATCAGCGTTGCCAATTTAGCTACTTTGTAGCTAAATGTAGCGACTTCCCCGCCCCCTTTTGAGACTTTTTTCAAAAGTTTAGGGACAAATATAGCAACTTCTTGGACAAACCTTATCGAAGTTCTCATCTTGCCCACTGATCTACGTTCATCTTTATATAGATCAGTGAATTTGCCATTGTGATGTCATCTAGTGACATTTAGCTACCAGTTTTAGCTACTTTCAACTGAAAGCAGTTGGCAACACTGATAGGCATACTAGAAACTTACCAGCAGGTGTGTTGAGGCAAGTTGGAGCTAAACTCTGCAAGACACCGGCCCTCCAGGACCGAGTTTGGGCACCCCTGCTCTAAATAATCAACATGATCAAAACTTTGAAGAAGAAAAAAAAAAACTTTCTGTACAGGTGCCTTCTGTTGTCTGATTGATAGTTCATACATTTTAGTATGTAAGAGGCCTTAGAATAATAGCTAAAAAATAAATTATGCATTATGTTTTGCATCCCCACTATAAAAACTACAGAGCTTTGATAATACCACTAAACATCTAAATATTATCTTACTAAGACAAATTATTGGGAGATATAAGTTAAATTGGCAGCTGATATTTAGATGCATTTTATGTTTATTATTAAAATGTAATTGATTTACATTACAGTACATCAGAATTTCATCTTGGCCATATAAAGCAACTGTTCCATTTAAAAAATATATTTTTTCTGGTTATTATTTAATGTCAGGCTAAACAGGCAACTACTGCGTTGCTAACCAGCTGCAACTAGCTGTTTACAAATGATGGTGACATTATTATGACTGTAATAATATCGGTTAACTTACCCACAGAGATGGTCAAGCTCTCAATCAGGAGGTAAAAAGCGAACATTAAACATAAACAGCATATGTTTTGTATGTTAAACCTAACGAGTATAGATATGAAATATAAAGATTTACATATTTTTATAGTTTGGCGCCCTTAAGTGGGCCAGCTTACTCTTCTTCTGGTGTTTTTGACGAGTTTAGTATTTCATCTGAACCCTCGCACACACCGCACTGGTCAGATGTGGAACTGCAGGAAGAGTTCATATACGGGCGTTTGCAATATCAGGAGGGGGAGTATGGTGTGAAATATTAGGCGTAAATACACTTTTTACCGCGATCTCTCATCATTACAATTATAAATAATTATTTATATGTTTAATGTGTATAATCATGCTTTCTTTCATTTTCAAAAATGTAAGATGTCACAAATAAATAATAAAAATGCTGTTGTACACCCCTCTCTCTCATCATGAGGTGGATCGGCGTCTCCTGGCAGCCGAGACCGTCAGACAGATGCGAGGAGGCGGTCAGTCAGTCCAGCAGGAGTGCTACATAATAAAGTTAAAGCCAGGCAGGTTTAAATCAGTCGTTGGCTGTTTTACTTTATTTAAATGTCTCATTCGCTCTAATAATTTCAGGGGATAATTATGTGGAATGTATTTTTCTTTTCAACAATGTTTATCAAGATACTAAAGTTCCCAGCTGGTCTGTTTGTGTTTATCTCAATAGCAACCAGACTTTGCCGGCAACAAAGCGACATTTGTGAACTGTACTATTTTTTTTCTTCCATCTGCATCTGTGTATTTAAACAAAGTTTGCGTGGTTTATGTAATGTAACGAGAGTGGTAGTTACAATTAACCAGCTAACTAGCTAATCGGTAAGCTAGTTTATTGTGATCTGGTGACATATGGGCACTGTATTTGTTTTTCGTCACTTTTAACGAAATGAAATGATGCTCGTCTGTGTATTTTTGTGATTTTTTTTTTTTTAAAGCTATTATCGAGTTCCAAAAGCAGTTTTAGGTCCTCTGATCATGGCTAAAGACCCGTTGGCCGAAGCTTGTCTTCATTTTGATGAACTCAACAAACTGCGAGTACTCGAGCCTGATGTGAGCCAGAAAACCATTGCGCTCAAAGAGGAATGTGAAGATTTTGTTGACAGTGAGTTTTTCATTTGGTTCTTTATCTTATAGTGAAGTTTATCTCTCGTGCAGACTGAACAGCATTTCTTTGCTTCTTTTCACAGTACAGATCAATAATTCATTGGATTTTTTTTTTAAACAGAGATAGGTCAGTTTCAGAAAATTGTAGGTGGACTTATTGAACTTGTGGATGAGCTAGCAAAGGAAGCCGAAACTGAAAAAATGAAGGTATGTTCTTGCACGTTTAAATGAATAGCAGTGCATATCTGTGTAATGTACATTAATATTGAAATATTAGGCGTAAATACACTTTTTACCGCGATCTCTCATCATTACAATTATAAATAATTATTTATATGTTTAATGTGTATAATCATGCTTTCTTTCATTTTCAAAAATGTAAGATGTCACAAATAAATAATAAAAATGCTGTTGTACACCCCTCTCTCTCATCATGAGGTGGATCGGCGTCTCCTGGCAGCCGAGACCGTCAGACAGATGCGAGGAGGCGGTCAGTCAGTCCAGCAGGAGTGCTACATAATAAAGTTAAAGCCAGGCAGGTTTAAATCAGTCGTTGGCTGTTTTACTTTATTTAAATGTCTCATTCGCTCTAATAATTTCAGGGGATAATTATGTGGAATGTATTTTTCTTTTCAACAATGTTTATCAAGATACTAAAGTTCCCAGCTGGTCTGTTTGTGTTTATCTCAATAGCAACCAGACTTTGCCGGCAACAAAGCGACATTTGTGAACTGTACTATTTTTTTTCTTCCATCTGCATCTGTGTATTTAAACAAAGTTTGCGTGGTTTATGTAATGTAACGAGAGTGGTAGTTACAATTAACCAGCTAACTAGCTAATCGGTAAGCTAGTTTATTGTGATCTGGTGACATATGGGCACTGTATTTGTTTTTCGTCACTTTTAACGAAATGAAATGATGCTCGTCTGTGTATTTTTGTGATTTTTTTTTTTTTAAAGCTATTATCGAGTTCCAAAAGCAGTTTTAGGTCCTCTGATCATGGCTAAAGACCCGTTGGCCGAAGCTTGTCTTCATTTTGATGAACTCAACAAACTGCGAGTACTCGAGCCTGATGTGAGCCAGAAAACCATTGCGCTCAAAGAGGAATGTGAAGATTTTGTTGACAGTGAGTTTTTCATTTGGTTCTTTATCTTATAGTGAAGTTTATCTCTCGTGCAGACTGAACAGCATTTCTTTGCTTCTTTTCACAGTACAGATCAATAATTCATTGGATTTTTTTTTTAAACAGAGATAGGTCAGTTTCAGAAAATTGTAGGTGGACTTATTGAACTTGTGGATGAGCTAGCAAAGGAAGCCGAAACTGAAAAAATGAAGGTATGTTCTTGCACGTTTAAATGAATAGCAGTGCATATCTGTGTAATGTACATTAATATGACTTATTTTTACATATTATTATTATTATTATTATTATTATACAGGCCATAGGTGCAAGAAATTTACTGAAATCGGTTGAAAAGCAACGGGAGGCTCAGCAGCAACAGCTTCAGGCTCTGATTGTAGAAAAGAAAATGCAGTTGGAAAGGTAATCAATCTTATTAGGCCTGTAATCAGAGTCAGACTGCAAATATTGTGTTCTTAAAGGAAAAGTTCACCCAAAAAATTACTATTTTGCTGAAAATGTACTCACCCACAGCCCATCCTGTTTATCAGAACAGATTTTGGAGAAATTGAATGACATCACTTGCTCACCAATGGATCCTCTGCAGTGAATGGGTGCCGTCAGAATGAGAGTTCAAACAGTTGATAAAAACATCACAGTAATCCTTCAACATATTTGTTTACAGTGGGTACGGAAAGTATTCAGACCCCCTTCAATTTTTCACTCTTTGTTATATTGCAGCCATTTGCTAAAATCATTTAAGTTAATTTTTGAGGAAAAAAAATTAACTTAAATGATTTTAGCAAATGGCTGCAATATAACAAAGAGTGAAAAATTTAAGGGGGTCTGAATACTTTCCGTACCCACTGTATATCTGTTTTGGACTGTTTCCCCTTGTAAACGTTGCTTGATACGTGTACATCTCTAGACAAGAAATATGGATAGAGGACTCGTATTTTAGCTGGAAGCAATGATTTGAATTAAAAAATATCTTGGAGTTGTAAAGTGAACAGCTGTAATGTTTGTAATAAGCAAATGGATAGACTGGAGTCGTGTGGATTATTGTAATGTTTTTATCAGCTGTTTGTACTGTTTCTGACGGCACCCATTCACACTGATCCACTGGTGCGCAAGTGAAGTGCAAAATGTTTCCAAATCTGTTTTGATAAACTCCTCTACATTTCGGATGGCCTGAGTGTGAGTAAATTTTCAGCAAATTGTTTTTTTTGGTGAAGTATTCCTTTAATTCTTGACTGTTTGTTTTGCAGGTATCGAATAGAATATGAAGCTCTTCAAAAAGTCGAAGCAGAGCAGAGTGAATTCATTGATCAGTTTATACTGCAGAAATAAGAGTGCTTTATTTCCTCTTTCTGTTGGACAAAAAAAGTGATGCTATGCGTCTTGATTTACAATGACTTCCTAATCAGTGCAGAGTCCCTAACTAGGTTAACCGAATCGACCAGTTAATAGGTGACAACAGACATCGGTTTCAGCCTCTGACTCTGTGTTAACCGAGTGCATTTGCATGGCCAGTTCAAGGAAGCTAACCATAACCTATCCAACCATAGATCATAATCTCAGATGAAAACTATTTATATACAAAAGAAGTTATTTATACTATTTATATGGAAATTAGTTTGTAAAACTGATTTTTTTTTACAGCAGGAAAATACAGTATTTGCATGTTACTGTAAATAATTCCATCATGAGACATCATCGGGTAAATGGTTTCTTTTCTGTATGATTTGTATTTTAACTGCTGTTTGTGACTGGAACTCATCCGGTTTTATTTTCTCATGCTCATGGCATTTTTATTGTCTGCTCATGGGACCACAACCAAAATATTTTCTGTAGTTAGGGAAATGGTTTCTTTTCTGTATGATTTGTATTTTAACTGCTGTTTGTGACTGGAACTCATCCGGTTTTATTTTCTCATATGCTCATGGCATTTTTATTGTCTGCTCATGGGACCACAACCAAAATATTTTCTGTAGTTAGGGAATACTATTTAAAATTCATTTATTGTTTGTTTACATTTACCGTTTAGATCATCAAGTGTGTAACCTCAATATGCGACAAACTTCATAGAGATTTGAAGAACATTTGAATAAAAATATATTTTGCATTTACATGTGTTGTCATCAGTAAACAATTATATGATGTCAAAAACTTGCTTAAACTTGAAATAGAGCAAAAGCTACATACAATTATCAAATATTCTGGCATGTATTCAAATATTTAATCACATTTAATTACTAGCAACAACTATAATTAATACATACGCTCATCATAAGAGGAATGTGTGGAAGGGATGAACGGCATCTATCTTTGTTTCTTGGACTTTGAGGAAGCGTTTCCTTTCAGAGAGGTTGAGTTGTATGTTGAGCTGAAGAGCATGGTAAGCAGTATCATGACAGGGATGATGAGGTATGGAGCATAAATGGACACCAGGGTCAGACGTTCTTTCAGAGTTTGGGGTCCCGGATGTGGCGCCAGTGGAAAGTTATAAAAAAGGACGTGGCTTAAAATGGGGATTAGAGTGGTGGCCACATGAACAGAATAAATGATTGCTGGAGTCCTGATCCATTTGCAGCCACCTATTAAATCGACAAATACATCAATTAGCAGGACTAATGTGACAATAGTAACTGGTCTCTGGTTCACCACCAGATGTCACTGTTGTGCCAGCTAAAACGGATTCTACAAATCATTAACACCCATTATCGCGTTTTAGTGAACACAACTGACCCTTCATGAAGGCGTATGCAGCAATTGGGAAAAAGGGCAGCTGCACGAGAGCCTCGCAGAATACAAAAGATCTGAACCACACAGGCGGGTCCATCATCATCGGATCCTTGAATTCAGCAGCATACCACTGCAATAGGTTTTTCAGCTGTAACGCAAGCACTCATATTTATTTACTGAGAAAGAGTTACATGTAACCTAGATATTATATGGCTAACGAACACAATTGAGTGCAGCACAAAGTGTAAACTTACCTCGGATGGATACAGATGTTCAGGAATTAAAGGTTGAAGATCAACCATGAGAGTGATTGGCATGTGGGACAAAAAGTAAAAGAAATATATGATTTCTAAGGCGCGAAGAAACATTTTGGTTAGCGTTCCTCCGTCAATATTTCAGCAGTAGTAGACTAGACGGCGTCAGTGGACAGTGTGGAGTAGCGTGTTACTCCTCTGTTTCTGATTGGTCCTTCAATTCAGTCGTTTCTAATCTTTGTCATTCCATTGGTTGATGCCTGAAGTGGGCGGGATCCTGATTGCACATTGGCTCATGGAGCGGAACCACAAGCCTTACTAAAATTACCATAGCAACTAAAGTTTTTTTTTAAATAGATGCTGCAGTTTGATGCCCAAAAAATGCTGTAGGTACCTATAGCGGCCACTTTCATCTTTGCACAACTAGACATTAGCCACCACTGTCATTAAAATAAAATAAATAAATGTATAGATAGAAAAAAAAGAAAGCCTGCATACAATCAGGAGTTACATGAGAACAATGATAAAATAATTGCTACAAAATTCTCATAGAATTAAAAAAAAAAAGTGATTTGATGCATAGAACAACTAGTTATATTTTTTAAATTCACTTTTCTTCTGCATTCATGATCCTTTGGTTGTCAATGTCCACATAATCCTGCAACATATTAATGTTTTATCACTTATCTATAGGACAAAGGAAACGCTTAAAAAGTAGATCAAGGATGAATATGACTCACCCCATCACTCTCCACCATACTCTCCAGGATCTTGACAATGTCTGTAAATGTAGGTCTAGATGTGTAGGGAACCAACCAGCAGTCTTGCATGACCTGTTCTCTACATTTTAAAAAAGAAATACAAAATACAAAAGCACCATAATCAAAATATTGGCAGTGTTTAGGACATAAGTCGGCAGGTTATTGCAATGCCAAAAAAAAAAAAAAAAAAAAAATTATATACACTACCGTTCAAAAGTTTATGATCAGAACGATTTTTAATGTTTTTTAAAAGAATTTCTTATGCTCATCAAGGCTGCATTTATTTGATCAAAAATACAGGAAAAAATGTAATATTGTGAAATATTATTACGATGTAAAATAACGTTTTTCTATTTTAATAAAATTTAAAATTTATTCCTGTGATGCAAAGCTGAATTTTCAGCATCATTACTCCAGTCTTCAGTGTCACATGATCTTCGCATCAACACTAACTGCGGTTACTGAAACCACGCCTTCTTTCTTTGCATGCACATTTGGGAGGCATTATGCTAATATTTCCCCATAGTGAGGTAGATATGTGGGGGCGTGTTAGAACGAGCCGTTTTAGGTAGGCGTGGCTGACTCTTAACTTTTATAAAGAATATCTCTTTGGATTTGAGACTTTAGTCTTTGCAACTTTACAAATCTTCTTTATGCACCAAGAGCTTGTAACACTTCAAAGAGAAAGGAAAAATTGAAATCGCATCATATGACCCCTTTAATATGTTTTTGGAACCTGTGATAGTTTTTTCAGGATTCTTTGATGAATAAAAAGTTAAAAAGAAGAGCATTTATTTAATACTTAAAACTTTTCTAACAATATACTCTACCGTTCAAAAGTTTGGGGTCAGTAAATTTTTATTCTTTATTTTTTTGAAAGAAAATAACATTTTTATTCAGCAAGGATGTGTTAAATTGATAAGAAGTGATAGCAAAGATTTATATTGTTAGAAAAGATTTATATTTTGAATAAATGCTGTTCTTTTTAACTTTTTATTCATTAAAGAATCCTGAAAAATTATCACAGTTTCCCAAAAAATATTTGGCAGCACAACTGTTGCCAACATTGATAATTCTAATAATAAATCAGCATATTAGAATGATTTCATAAGGATCATGTGACACTTTATACTGGAGTAATGGCTGATGGAAATTCAGCTTTGCATCGCAGAAATAAATTATACTTTAAAGGATATTAAAATAGAAACCATTATTTTATATTGTAATAACATTTTGCAAGATTACTGTTTTTTTTTTCTGTATTTTTGATCAAATAAATGCAGCCTTGATGAGCATAAGAGACTTCTTTAAAAAACATTACAAGTCTTACTGATCCCAAACTTTTGACCGGTAGTGTATATATAAAACAACAGTAGAAGTCAGGAAAAAAAGAAATCTATAAAAAACAAAAATTGAAAAAATAAATAAATAAAATTCTCTCTCCAAAAAAAGAAAAGAAAAAAAACTTATTTTTTTCTGACTTCTACTGTCACTCACATTTCTGGACGGCAGGTATTGGGGACAGTGTTCTTATAACCAGCACAGACACTATACACCACTTCCTCAGATGTGTTCAGATTTGGATACGGCAAGGTGCCTGTGAAATATAAAATTCAGTATTTGTTATTTATTCTTCAAAAACATTTAACAAAATTAATCAAATATCTCAGACATTTCTCACCGAATGTCTGCATTTCCCACAGCACAATACCAAACGCCCAGACATCTCCCTTAAAGCTGTAGTAGTTGTTCCTGAAGTATTCTGGAGGATACCAGCGCAGCGGCACACGCTCCTATGAGATCACATTCATATCATTGAGCAATGAGCAATGAGGATGTGGGGACGGACAGGTCCGATTAGTTCACCTTGTGTTGTTTTTTTCTGCTGCTGCGTCTGCTCCTCATACGGGTCAAGTCTCTGGCCAGGCCAAACTCTGCTACCTTCACCTCCCATGGGAATTGACTCACCAGAATGTTCCTTAAGGCAAGGTCACTGTGCACCACCTGAATAATAAGAAAGCATCCGAAATCATTCTTCGCATTTATGTTTATAGTGTAAATATATGACTCTCTGTTTAACAGAACAGCTGTTTTATGTTTGTGGCAGATGGTGATACCATTTTGGAGCGTAAGTGCTCCATGGCCAGGGCGATGTGGTAGGACGCGATGGTGAACTGGCTCTGCAGTTCAGGGTCAGCAATCAGTTCATCTTTGTGTTTCTGAACAAAACTGCGCAGGGTTCCGTAGCTCATGAACTCCATGATCAGCATATACGGCTCTGAGGAAACAAGACACTGTTTTGGTCACATGATGGAAACTACTACATTATTTCAGTACAAGTTTGACAAATCTTCTTGGATTAATGATAAATAAATAATAATAGTAGAAGTGGAGAGGGAATGCTTGTTACATTGCAACTTTCAAGTACAAATTAATTAATGTATATTGTTCCCCTGTTTTAGTTAAGTCGTAACCATGAATTAAGAATTTGTTCGTTCCCTCGTTTTAGTAAATCGTGACCACAAATGAAGAATTCGTTCCCTCGTTTTAGTAAACCGTGGCCACAAATTAAGAATTCGTTCCCTCGTTTTAGTAAACCGTGGCCACAAATTAAGAATTCGTTCCCTCGTTTTAGTAAACCGTGGCCACAAATTAAGAATTCGTTCCCTCGTTTTAGTAAACCGTGGCCTCTCCCTTAAAGCTGTAGTAGTTGTTCCTGAAGTACTCTGGAGGATACCAGCGCAGCGGCACACGCTCCTATGACATCACATTCATATCAGTGAGATGAGCAATGAGGACGTGGGACGAACAGGTGCGATTAGTTCACCTTGTGTTGTTTTTTTCTGCTGCTGCGTCTGCTCCTCATACGGGTCAAGTCTCTGGCCAGGCCAAACTCTGCTACCTTCACCTCCCATGGGAATTGACTCACCAGAATGTTCCTTAAGGCAAGGTCACTGTGCACCACCTGAATAATAAGAAAGCATCCGAAATCATTCTTCGCATTTATGTTTATAGTGTAAATATATGACTCTCTGTTTAACAGAACAGCCGTTTTATGTTTGTGGCAGATGGTGATACCATTTTGGAGCGTAAGTGCTCCATGGCCAGGGCGATGTGGTAGGACGCGATGGTGAACTGGCTCTGCAGTTCAGGGTCGGCAATTAGCTCATCTTTGTTTTTCTGAACAAAACTGCGCAGGGTTCCGTAGCTCATGAACTCCATGATCAGCATATACGGCTCTGAGGAAACAAGACACTGTTTTGGTCACATGATGGAAACTACTACATTATTTCAGTACAAGTTTGACAAATCTTCTTGGATTAATGATAAATAAATAATAATAGTAGAAGTGGAGAGGGAATGCTTGTTACATTGCAACTTTCAAGTACAAATTAATTAATGTATATTGTTCCCCTGTTTTAGTTAAGTCGTAACCATGAATTAAGAATTTGTTCGTTCCCTCGTTTTAGTAAATCGTGACCACAAATGAAGAATTCGTTCCCTCGTTTTAGTAAACCGTGGCCACAAATTAAGAATTCGTTCCCTCGTTTTAGTAAACCGTGGCCACAAATTAAGAACTAATGGAAATGGACTTAAGCATTCCCTTGTTTTAGTAAATAGTGGTTACAAATAAAAAATTTGTCCCCTCGTTTTAGTAAATTGTGAGCATAAATTAAGAATTCGTTCCCTCGTTTTAGTAAATCGTGACCACAAATTAAGAATTCGTTCCCTCGTTTTAGTAAACCGTGGCCACAAATTAAGAATTCGTTCCCTCGTTTTAGTAAATCGTGACCACAAATTAAGAATTCGTTCCCTCGTTTTAGTAAACCGTGACCACAAATGAAGAATTTGTTTCCTCGTTTTAGTAAATCGTGTCCACAAATGAAGAATTCGTTTCCTCGTTTTAGTAAATCGTGACCACAAATGAAGAATTCGTTCCCTCGTTTAGTAAATCGTGACCACAAATGAAGAATTTGTTTCCTCGTTTTAGTAAATCGTGACCACAAATGAAGAATTTGTTTCCTCGTTTTAGTAAATCGTGACCACAAATTAAGAATTAGTTTCCTCGTTTTAGTAAATCGTGACCACAAATGAAGAGTTAGTTTCGTTTTAGTAAATCGTGACCACAAATGAAGAGTTAGTTCCCTCGTTTTAGTAAATCGTGACCACAAATGAAGAATTAGTTTCCTCGTTTTTCCTCGTTTTAGTAAACCGTGACCACAAATGAAGAATTCGTTCCCTCGTTTTAGTAAATCGTGACCACAAATGAAGAATTCGTTCCCTCGTTTAGTAAATCGTGACCACAAATGAAGAATTTGTTTCCTCGTTTTAGTAAATCGTGACCACAAATGAAGAATTCGTTCCCTCGTTTAGTAAATCGTGACCACAAATGAAGAATTTGTTTCCTCGTTTTAGTAAATCGTGACCACAAATGAAGAATTTGTTTCCTCGTTTTAGTAAATCGTGACCACAAATGAAGAATTCGTTTCCTCGTTTTAGTAAATCGTGACCACAAATGAAGAATTTGTTTCCTCGTTTTAGTAAATCGTGACCACAAATGAAGAATTCGTTTCCTCGTTTTAGTAAATTGTGACCACAAATGAAGAATTCGTTTCCTCGTTTTAGTAAATCGTGACCACAAATGAAGAATTAGTTTCCTCGTTTTAGTAAATCGTGACCACAAATGAAGAATTCGTTCCCTCGTTTAGTAAATCGTGACCACAAATGAAGAATTTGTTTCCTCGTTTTAGTAAATCGTGACCACAAATTAAGAATTCGTTCCCTCGTTTTAGTAAACCGTGGCCACAAATTAAGAATTCGTTCCCTCGTTTTAGTAAATCGTGACCACAAATTAAGAATTCGTTCCCTCGTTTTAGTAAACCGTGGCCACAAATTAAGAATTCGTTCCCTCGTTTTAGTAAATCGTGACCACAAATTAAGAATTCGTTCCCTCGTTTTAGTAAATCGTGACCACAAATGAAGAGTTAGTTTCGTTTTAGTAAATCGTGACCACAAATGAAGAGTTAGTTCCCTCGTTTTAGTAAATCGTGACCACAAATGAAGAATTAGTTTCCTCGTTTTAGTAAATCGTGACCACAAATTAAGAATTCGTTCCCTCGTTTTAGTAAATTGTGGCCTCAAATTCTTAATTTGTAGGACTTGTAGCCATGAAAAATATATATTTTGTCCGCATGTCGTGCTGGGCCATATTTTGGGATGAGATTATCACAGAGACTCGGGGGTGAGCTCTTTTGACTCGGACCAGTAGGCAACGACCTAGCAACCAACCTAAACACCCTAGCAACCACAAAGCAACATGCTTAAACCATTCAGAAGATCTCAGCAATGCCCTGACATCCATCACAACACTCTAAGACTATTGTCAGTGAGTTTTGCGCAGGCAAGATCTAGTCTATATTTTACTGTCTAGCTGCAAGGATCCATTTAAGGTTTATTAGAGTCATACAATACTGAAGTGCAGCAGCATGTCTTACCTTCCGCTGTATTCCAGTCCAGCAGCTGCATCACATTTTTATGATACGCCAGCTTTCTCATAATAGACACCTCATTTTCCATCTGCTTTGAGGTGATACCTGCAAACAACAGCAGATCTAAACAACTGCTGGATTATTATGGAGATATTCATGCATTTTGGTACAAACAATAGCTTGTTTTCAAAATGCATTTAAGTAACAGAAATATTTTTGCATGTAGTTTTCTACCTTCTTTTCCAATTTTGCAAGTGACCAGTGAATGGCCTCTACATGTGCTCCTTATTATCCTTGCTTTGTAGAAGACTCCTTCTCTACCCGCCTTTATGAGCTGAATAAGGCTCAGGTCTGCTTTTGTGAACCGAGGAATCTAAAGATCATTTCTTCATGTTACATTGTTGGAGCACTATACAAGTTAGTCACTCACATTTCATACTTGTGATGCATTTTATATACATTTATAAAACTCATCAACAAATGTTTGAGTTGAGTAAAATGTTTAAAATAAAAAATAAAGATGTAGTAAACCTGTAGTGGAGGCTTCCAGGGAAATCTGCAGCTCGATTTAGTTTGTTGTCTCTGTAATGGTTTCTCTGTAGTACGGTCCGGCCGTTCAGGAATTTTCAGGACACCAGGAGATGGAGGGGGAGAATCTTGGGAAGGAACCTGGGGGATCACAGCCGGCCTCCCTTGCCTCAGCTCCCGTATGATCTTCTTCATTGACCGATACCTGAGGAGTGAAACACAAACAGAGTATTTTGAAATCTGGTACTGATACTGTATTTTATTTTATTTTTTTAAATAAATATGACTGCAATACTTATTTAAAAACTTTTAATGGTAACTTTATAGTAGTGTGCTATTATACACACACACACACACACATATATATATATATATAAACTTTAATATTTAAATTAATATTAAGAACTATTATTAGATAAAAACTTTAAACTAAAAGGTTTGTTTTATAATAATAATAATAAGCTGTTATATACTTGTTTAGGCAAAGGCATCCAAGTACAATCATGAAGAAAATGGTAACAGCATAGATGCAGATTAGAATTGTGTGTCCGAAATCAAGTTCTGTAAAAGGAGAAAAATAAGTTTTATGTGATGGCCATCAAAGTAAAATAAACTACAGTCTGTTTTCATATAGGCACATGCAATATACACCCAATACTGTAATTTTGTATGATTTATTCAGTTTAATTTAAAATAAAAAAACTTAAAAGCCTGCATTTGTCACCTCATTCGATAAAAG